CGCGGTGCTGAGATTTCGCCAAGGCGGAGTAATCAGCCACTCAGGGAGCGCACAGGTGAGCACTTTTCCCAACACCAGGGTCGGTGCGTCAGATGTTCGATCAATCATCACACCAACATCCAACGCACGTGATGAGATTGCAGCAATTAACGACGCGAATGTCGGCTATAAAACAGTCATCACACCACGTGCAACGATCCCTGATGAAGGAGGAGCCGTGAACATTCATAGGCATGCGGTAGCATGGCGACTGCATCCCATAAATACTGCAGCCCCTTATGCATGAACCACCCGTATCTGCTTTTGTCTCTGATGATGGGTTCGAGCAGGAATCCGAAACGTCAGGCTAATAAAACTCTTGTCCCAGCGACCGTGTCTCCTCCTTTAAGGCGCTCGTCTTTCGTCCTCGCGAGGTGGGCGTTCCAAAGCAGTTGCCAAGTTGAATTCGCACTGGTATGGTGTGGCCACGGATAATTCCGGTTAGTTCAAGGACATCTGTCTCCAGAATCCTATCTTGTCATCTCACTTTCAGTATTCTTCGGAGGCAGTCAAGGTGGAAGTGGCTGAGCTTTCGCGCTTGTCCCTTGTAGACTATCCAGGTCCCTGCTCCGTGCAGCAGTGCGGTCAAGGTTACAGCTTTGTATATCTTCCGTTTTGTGCTGGGATCCAGACCATGGCGGATCGTGGGTCCTGCAGCCGGCTAAAAGCCTGGTTGGCTTTGGAGATGCGGTGGACACTTTGTCCTTGCGTTTGATGTTGCGTGAGAGTGCACTGAATAAATAGACGAAATTATCCACGATTTTGAATTGGGTGCCGTTGACTCTGATGCGAGGGACGATGTATTCAATGTTGGTTGACGGATTGTGTGACCTACGTTTTGTCCGTGTTGATGGTCACCCCGACGTTTGCCCAGTTGAAGCTAAAGTTATCCATGGTCCGATGCATACCCGGTTCTGTCGCAGGGTTAAGAGCGCAGTCGCCTACAAATAGCATGTCGTGGTTGGTGTTAGTGGTCCATTGTATCTTTTGTGCACCGTGTATTGAGAATCTGAAAGTCAGCCCTCCAGATTATGCTAATTCCAAGGAGATGCTCACTGTAAACCCTCGTCCTCATGGCAGAGATTCTGTGACTGAGGAGGATGGGTACGAGTACACAGCACTGCTTGACTTCGTTGGTCACAGCGAACGCGTTTTTGACAGGCCCACTGTTCGTGACGCGCGACAAAATCCCTTCGTGTGGCTGACGCACCATGTGCGTGAATCACTTAGGACAGCCGAGTTTTTGCAGGACTTCCCAGCGTCTTCCGCGATTCGCCGCGTCAAAGGCTCTTGTCGGGTCCATGAGTGTAGTGAAGGGAGGGGACCGCATTTGTTAGCGTTTCTCTTATAGCTGGTGGACGACGAAGATCATGTTAGTTGGTTCGCGGTGTCGCCGGGAGAAGTCTGTGTTTCAGATTGCCGTCCAGATGAGTGATAATGATACGAGAGTTCTCAGCAATTTTGAACAGCAAGATTCCTCTGGGACTATCCGGACTGGCCGGCTCCCTTTCCGGTGCTTTCCCGCTGGAGAGGTGACGCACTGATCTGATGGTATGTGGGAGGAATGGCGGGACGTCCACGTCGTTTCCACCTGTGAAGCCGGTCGATGGCGGCGTCGGAGATTATGGATGGGCGGTTTAGGGCACTTCTGAAGTTCTCCGCATAACGCTTCAGATTCCGCGATTATCCCTCCAGAGGTTTTGTTCTGTCGGAGACGAGAAGCGGTGTCGTTCATTTAGCTTTGGCGTCGCAGACCGCCTTGATTGATGCGAAGAAGTTCGTTGTTTCATTATGACCCACATACTCCTGAATTTCCTCAGCCTTGCGAGCCATCCAGACGTTCTGCATCTCCAACATCTGTTGCTGCAGAAGGCGGCGACATCTGAGGGGGGACACTTTGTTTGCCTCCGTCCAACGGTCGATGTTGACTTTGCACAGCTTATTCTCCACGGCGAGCTGAATGCGGAGTTCTTCTTCGAGATCGCCAAACCAGTCCTGGTGTTCACAGTATGGGCGACCTAGGGTGTCCAGGACGATGGATAAGATAACGTTCCGAACTTGGCGTCATTGTGCATCCACGGCGGCGTTGCCATCCGGAGCCTGTGTTTCACCCAGTCGTTGGGCCAGTTGATTTCTGAAATCGAAGCTGTGGACAGGCAAATTCAACAGAACAGTATTCAGCTTACATGTGGTCGCGTGCCCTGTAGTCTTATGAGGGGGTGCAGTCGAAGCCTCGCCATGGAGATAGCAAGGCGGCGATCCGTCCAGTCTGCGGCGTCACAGATCGCCTTTGTCGCTAAGATGTCCTGTCAAGCCAGCCCCCGGACGAGAACACATTTCAGCAGGTGCCATTACCGCAATAGGGGTGTATCCAGACCGCCTTCTCCGGCGTCGGGAGGCAGAAGAAGGTTCAGGTGAGGGGTAGGAGGAGAATGAGAGGGAGGAGGAGGGGAAGATGGAATAGGAGACGGTGTTCTGTGCAGGTTAGCAGGAAGACGGTCTTGTTATCGTTGCAGTCACTGACTCCATCTGGACCCGCACTTTCCTCCCAGGCAGTATGTTCTGTCCCCTGGCGGGAGTTGAATTCACCAAGGACAAACAGCTTGTTTGCCTTCGGTACATTCAACCGGAGAGTGTGCGGATTTTCGTAAAACTTGTCCTTCACCTTGTCGTAGTCGGTTATTTGGGAGGCGTGGGCAGTGACAGCAACTGCGAATTTGACTCCCCAAAAAGGCAAACTCAGGGCCATGAGACGATTGTTGATGTCCTGCAAAAAATAGGGCTCCCGTCATACAATATCGCGCCGGGTGACAAAAACGATTCCAGAGTCGCGTCGTTCTGTTCTCGGGTGGCCGCTACAGGAGAATGTGTAGTCGGAATCCACTTATTCCAGTTGACCTTGCTCGGAGAATCGGGTCTTGTTAAGAGCTGAGATATCCAACATGCCGCGCACCAGTTACCTAACGAATAGCGCTGCCCTACGTCTTGGTCGGTTGCTCAGCTGGTTACTTAGGAGAGAACGAACATTCCAGGCTGCCGGAGTGAGCAGAATAACACCAGCACCCCATGAGGTAGGCCGGAGTGGATGAGAGCGGAGGGTTTTTGCTTGTTTGGTTGCTACAATCATGAGCTGTAAATCGGCGAGCCATAGTCGGCGTGAGGATGTGGCGATTTCAGAATTTGTTTAAGCCACCCTATGAGGCCCGTCCCCCAGGAGGAAGTAAGCGTTTCTGTCCCGAAATAGGGCTGCCAGACACTATTGGGCACGTTTTGGTTTAGTGGGAGAACGAATCGAGTTATCCTAGACTGCCCACGAAACTGCATGTCGCCCTCTCCGTGGGACCTTTGAAAGTGAGGGGGAAGGGGAGGGAGGTTGGGAATGGAAGCATAATTACCGGTGTGGGGACACAAACGACACCGGATACCTTTGTCTGTTTTGGTCCGTACAATCGAGGCGGTTACCGGAGTGTGTGTCTGCTAGGTTTATCCTAGCTTAGGGAGCCACAGATAAGAGTTATGTGCCAGTGAAGGACCGTGCGTAGCAGTCACCATTCGTATGGTGCAACCTACCACCCATAAACAAATTGCCTTTTTACTCCCTGACGAATTCTCCATAAATAATGATTGCACCTCAACCAGAACTTCCTTCGTATTTTTGCCCGTTTTTCCATGTAAAAACCACGCTCGTTTCTCAGGCGTTTGATGACAGCAATCAGGACACCAAATCGGGTCTTTTTCAATGGAGTGAGTTCGGCAGTTTGGCAGAGCAGGACTGACTGTGGTGTACAGTTTAATATGGCACACCTATCTGTTCAGTGTTGTGACCTTTAAATAGACCTACGCGGCGATGTCTGGTTTGCAAAATAGGATTTACCAAGCGTTGGGGTCACACAACGGATAGGTTCGTCTGTCAGTTACCTGGATGAAGTTGTTTTGTGGAGAGCAAGTTTGTGGGGCCAGAAATGATAGCAGGCAGCCAGAGACTGGTACCTTGTAAGTACTTCCTAGGAAGAAAATGTCGTACCGGCACGACGGCACGATAGTACACCACGAGCCATGTGGATGACCACTGTTCAAAATAGGACGCAGTGATCATTCGCGCAAAACTTCTTCATGGTGAAGAAGGCTTTCGCAGTACTTGCCTCGCTCACAGATTTCTGGTGGGAAGGCAGTGACAGATCAAGTGGTGATTAGCATAAGCGTAGTGGCTAACGGACCTAAAAGGCCCGCTTACGGATACCACACGAAACCTAGCAGACGAATCCGTGCGAAGCAGGGTCTAAAGGAAGGGGATTCACTGACATAACAGAATTCAGATGCGCCATACAGGTCACACCATCAAGGAGTCATTACAGTTTAACTCTCAATCCCGGACGGCACGCAGTTGTTCCGCTAGCTGTTTATTTTCCAACCCACGACTGGTGGTGCGTAGTGATACATTAAAAGTGCGTCCGGTTATTTGTGGTGGGAAAAGTAATCTAGACCGCCCTGGTTTCCTCTCCCATGTGTCAAGCGAACTGGGGACATGTCTGGGCCCAGTGGCTGACGCTACATGCAGCTACGCGTGCCGCATACGGGTGACGAAACACGGGGTGGATGTCAGTCACGTATTCGAGGACGACGTCGCCATTTACGTTGACTAGGTGGCGCGTTCGAGCAAACTCTGCATAATGTCCCATGACCGCGGTCAGTCAACATACAGAAGTTAGGGTTTTTAAATGGCAAAAAGCTAGTCTACGCACGTCCTTGTTCCTACCAAACGAACTTAAAACAGCAAAAAACACTGAGCGTACTCAAAACGCTATAATTATCAGGCAAATTCTGGGTTGTAGGAAAAGTCAGAGTTCACCAGAATGTGGGACTTGTTGTATACAGAAGTCTGAGTTGGTCTCTCAGGCGGCAGTCGTCGTTGGCGAGGAAAGAAAATATACTGACGGTGTTAACTCGTGCCTAAGAGAGACAAGTGGTGGCAGATGCTTTTGTGGGAACTGGTTCAAGTGCCGTCCAGTTGGTGTGTTGCATTTGCCCAGGGGTGACGTGTCTAGTGGTTTATTTTGTATTCTTCGAGGAGTGGCGTGTTCAAGTGGCGTGTGGGCAACTGCGGCGGTGTGGACGCACGGGTGTCCAAGCTGAAGTTGGCCGATTGGCTGCAGGTCAGCCTATCTGGGACTCCTCGCTGCAATAATGAATGATTTTCAGGCAGCCGGACCGTTGACAAGGATGCCAGGTATTGCTATGATGGCTGTCAGAAACAGAGCTCTCAACCCAGTGTCTCTGATCTTTGTCAGTAGCACTTGAGGTCGAGTAGTCTGGCTACGTGACGGTCTAAGCTGGCTGCAGATCCGAAGCACCAGGGGAAAACGGAACTATGCTCACTATGCCCCCGGGATTGATCCGCGAACATCCATCTGACGGGAATTTTTTGATTTGTTCCTTTGATTTCGTTCCGACCCCTTAACTACTCGCTACCTTTCCTTATAAGCTGACTTTTTCGGCCATCTTTGCTTACTAATTTCGGCGTTAAGAGAGGACAAAGATATGGCGGTAATAAGTTTCAACGGAGACAGGGGAATATGTGAAAACATAGAGGACAACATGTCCGTAAAGGTGGGTCCAAACCATTGAAATGGAGGGCGCGACTCAGCCCTGGAGCATCCACGGTGCTGGCTTCCATCACCTCAAAAATACGATTTTTCATCCTCTTTAGGACTTTCCCGCCCTGCGTATAACTGACTGCACGCTCACTGTCAGATGACTCGGCGCCACTCTCCGCGAAGGATGTATTTGATTGACGGGTGGCACCTTCTTACTTTTCAGTCTTTGCCCATTACAGTGTACTCTTTTTTGAGTTCAAAAACCGAGGATAATATAATAACTGCCTCGGTGCTCAGCTGCTGTTCTACCTAGCGAGAACTCGTAGTTCTCATTGTCGCCCCATATTCATAGAAATATCTACATAATCAATTAAAAGATGCTTACCCGGAGTTCATGCACACACATTATAGACAGACTTGTATTTTCAAGTTCTGCGACGATTAGCCAGATCACACGAATCAGAACTATGCTGTGTCTATCAACGTCACTGTCAACTGAATTTAAACGATTTCTTGTATGAGGAAGAGATTGAGGAATACGTTTTATTTTGAAAATATCATCTCAAAATCTCCTCCAGTTTCGTGGCCAGTGTATAAACTAATAGAGGAGGGAAAAGTTAACGGGTTGGCATAAAAACTGCACAACTATTTTGAGTACATTTCGAGTTTCAAATTCTGTATTTCGGCCTCTTTTCAGGTTAGATATCGAGTCAGAATGGGTAATACCAAACGCTGGTATGCCGTGGTGCGGCAGGAGATGCACCGAAAGCCACGGCGCATGACGTGGAAAGAATTCGAGACCATTAATTCAAGCCGAAGAAAATGGACATTATTTAGAATTCAATCATCAAGTTGCTTGACCGTTTGGCGATGTAGCTGCATTAAGGTATCAAATAAAACACGTAAGAAACACCGGCAACAGAAGGGAGCTTCTGGAGGATATGTTTTAAAATGACCAGACCTTCTTAGGCAGAGCGGGAAAAATAACGGGAGAAAATAAAGAATGAGAGAGTGAATGTAAACATCTGTATATCTCCGAATTAGTGATTGAGATAAGTGACAGGAACGTAAACGATGGATATAATAAACAAGCTCACGAATTTTAGCGAAAAGGGTTGTACCATGAAGGAGGAATGGGAGATTTGAGGACAGGGTAAAACCAAAGTACCAGAAAACCGACGCTTCCTTAGGAAAAACGTCAAAAGCTTCATGAATGGAAGAGAGTCACAGTCGAAAACACGCTGGGCAGATTCCTGGTCTTTAAACAAAAAACCATTTTTCAACAACTACGTGTCGACATGACTCAAGCAATCCTTCGGAAAATGGAGGTGAGTCAACTTTTTAATAACGCGGCCAGTAGTCATATTATCAGCAAACTTGCCATGTAAGCAGTCGTTGGACGATCTCAGACCGTCAGTGTGGAGTGAGAAGAGGGGAGGGGATAAAATGGAACCTCTAGGGACTCCGAAGTTTTTTAGGAAGAACAGCCGATTTCAGCTTACCGGACTGCGCGAATTGAGTGCTGAGGGCAAAATAATCTCAAAGGCAAGAAGCGATCCAGTCCTGAAAGCCACACTCAGATGTTTCGCTGAGATGGCGCGGGACTGTATTGAAAGCAGAAGAGTCGTCGGGAAATGCACATGCGTGCTCACGGCAATCCTTGCTTAACTGCCTTCGAGCAGAGTGAACCATAAGAGCAGCGGTACTCAAGGTATCACGTCTGGCTTTATGTGCGAAATGTAGAGGGTACAGGCTGTACTAAAGCCTTCCCCATACTGTCGCGGGTTCGACTCCCACCGAGGCGCCGAGGTTTTCACAGTTGGGTCAGTATGAATGTTATCTAAGGCAATTTCTTCAGTGAGCTTCATAACTGCGGAGGGGCATGCAATTAGACGGAAAAATCTAGGACCAAAATTGGTAGAATTCTTTGGGATGTGAGTGATGCTAACTGTACTCCAAGCGTCAGGCATCTGTAATTCTGTGAAGGATATGGTAATAAGATGTGTAAAAACAGGTGCTATCGGAAAAACAGGACCAAAGGAGAAATGGTGAGACATCATGCCGCCCGACAGTTCTTGATCCGCACACCTTATGAAGATATTTCTCCACTGTAGCCCTAGACACAGGACAGAGGACTCAGTGGTAGAGCGAAATG